ACTGTATTCTTGCAGAAATTTTACAGCAGTTTTTCCTTCAGTGGCAAATTTCACAAGTGATATTTAAAATTTAAGCTGAAGGCAAAAATATCACGATTTCTCCATGGAAATTGTTAGAACTTGAAATCTAACAAAAAGAATATATATGAAAGGTGTTTTCGTATGCACTCTTTTGCTGAAGTGCTTGAAGAGTGTTTGCCAGATTTTGGCACATTTAGAAAACTTGGCAACTTCTACTAAGTTGCAAAAGTATGTAAGTACTCAAGAAAGAAATAAATATAATAAAACAGACAGAATATACATCAGCCAAAAGGAAGTAAACTATCTGACAAGCAGGCACAAATTACAGGCAATGCGAAGCAAAAACTTGAAAAGCAAACCTGAAACAAAAGTAATTTTTTAATATGAAAACCAAACTACAAAAACTTAAAAAATCTGAACGGATTCATATTTTAACGGTCACCCAAAACCACACTACTCTTTTAAAGTTTAATATGGTTTATATATAGAGATTGTCAGTAAGCTTTGGTGGAACATTTTATAGAACACTAGATAAATATACATTTAAACTAATATGGCACATTACATATCTTCTGTACATTTGAAAAGTGAAAAATATACAACATAATTCTATAAAATATTGAATTTCTTTAATTAGATATATCATGAATTACATGCATTTTTATATAAATCTATTAGATTAAAAAGTAAAATAATAATAATAATAATACTTTTATGAACTGTATCTACTGCTTTTAAATATCTCACTTTGGTAATCAGTTACACACAGATTAAATTTGAAAGACATTTTTCCAAATAGCTAAGGTGACCAGATGTCCCGATTTAGGCGGGACAGTCTGGATTTCAGACTTCATGTCCCGAGTTTCCTCACTTGTCCCGGCAGGATGCCTGTTTGTCCCGCCTTTCTGCAAAAGAAACTTAACATCATTTAACTCGAATTTTCTTGTAAATGCATTACAATGGAATGGTCTGACAAAAAATGTTGTTGGCTTCTGCGCAGACAATGCTAACATGAATTTTGGGGGATTAAAAAGAAGAGGTAGAAACAACATTTTTGCAATATTACAAGATGGCCTCGGGAGGAAACTGCTAGGTATTGGTTGTGCTGCTCATATCATCCACAACGCAATCCAAACAGCAGGAGATTACTTTCAAATTGATGTGGAAGCAGTTATATGAAAAATTATTATTATTTTTATATCTACACTGTTCATGTTGAATCATTCAAAGAATTTTACGACTTTACCTGTGTAGAGTACCAGCGCATTTTAGGATATGGGAAAACTAGATGGTTATCACTGATGCCTGCAGTAGAGAGAGTTTTAAAATTGTTTCTGCACTGAAATCCTATTTTTTGTTGGAGGGGAAGTGCCTCACCCTAATCCGCAACTTTCTTTAGAATCCCTGTGCTGAATTGTGGCTCTATTTTGTATATAATATCGCTGTGGTGTTTCAAGCAGCAATTCTGCACATAGAACAGACTGTAACAGCATTGGAAATATCTTCTGAACTGGATGATTTAATACATAAATGCACTGAGTGAAGCGCAAAAAACTTTTTGCCAAATGAAGTATGTATGCTGATTACCCAATTAGAAGAGGAAGGATTGGCGAAAAAAAATGACATTATAAGAAAAATTGTAAATTTTTACGACAACTGTGATGGATATCTGAAAGAGAAGGCTGAGCAATTCGAAGATCCAAACGTAGTTGGGTTGCATTAAAGAAGCCACCGTCGTGGGAAAAGGTACAAGAGAGCGTGCAACGTTTTGGGTGGAAGATTCCAAAGGTTGACATCAATGATAACGAGTTATTTGACGAAGTAAGCTACATTAGGCGATTTACTTCACTGCAAAAGATTGCAGATTGGAATTGTCAGAAAACTAGTCTTGACTGTCGATGGGCTGAAATTTTTCGCCATTTCAAGGATAAAAACGTGCCATGTGAGCAAATCCAGAAAATTATGGAGTTTTTGTTGTGTCTTCCAGAGACAAACGTCGCCAGTGAAAGAGTTTTCTCATCTATGAATATCATATGGATGACTTGAAAGACACAGTTAAAACTTGAAACACTACAGCAACGTTAATAGTGACATGCAATTGTGAGTTTGACAGTTTGACAGTTCCTGTAGTTCCTGTGATGAAGTCTATGAAAGACTTCTACAAGAGCCAAAACTTCTTAGAAGCATTCATTCGTCAATGAAATAAGTCTACGGAGCAACTTCACAGGATGATCCTTCTAGGTCAGCAGCTGATGAGGAAGGCCCATCGTCCGCGTCGAATTAATACAATCGTGGCATCATGTGCTGGATGGACATGTTCAACCAGTTAAGGTAGGTAGGAAGATACAAACTTTTATTTCCCGACTGTTTTTTTTTTTTAAATTCTTTGTTCGCTTTTACTCTTACTGAAAGAGCATCAGAGTTGTCTCAGTCCAGATCCCAAAATCCATGACTGTTGACTTAATACAGTCAAATACCGAAAATCTGCCAACTCCTGAAATCCGCGTTGCCACGCAAAATATAAACATTCAGTTTATAGGTTCCGGAAACCACAACATTGAGTAAGAAATATTGAAGAAAAAATACTTACCAAATAATGACGTCATAATTAACGAATAATAATGAGTTATAACGGAAATACCAAATTATTGACATCATGATAAAAGTTTTTTCCCCCTCTAATCTGCATCCAGATAAAAAAGCAGACGATTCACTCAACTCTTCTTTTAAGATCACAATTCACGTTGTTGTATTTTCTGAGCTTTGTTATTTCACGATATTATCTGGATATTTTGTGGATAAATTAAGAATATTTAAAATTTCAACCCTTTTTAATACAATTACAGATAAGAAACACACTCAGGATTTTACTGCTTGCAAAGTTTAAAAACATCAACACATTGCATTGACGGTAATGCAAAAAGTGCAAATTCTGCAAAAGATGGAAGCAGGTGCTACTCTTCGGTTTATAGCAGAATTGTGTGGAATTGCAACACGATTGTGTATGATATACAGAAAAATAAAGAAAAGCTGTTGAAATTTTACAGCAACAGTGATTCTAACACCAGAATCCGAAACCGGAAATCTTTGCATGAGGTGAAATTGGCAAACCTCGATGCTGTATACAGTCAAAAGTCTTTAATCCGGACTCGTCGGGACTTTGGCAATTCCAGATTATCGATTTTTCTGGATTATAGATCATCAGTTTAAATCTCGTAAGATGGCATGCAGAAATTATAAAATAAAAAATACGAAACCGTAATTTATGAAATAAAGAACAATTATGATCTAAAGGGTATCAAAATTTACAAAAAAAAAAAAAAAAAAAAAGCTTAATATTTATTTGTTTACTTTATTAAACATTTCTTTCTTTCAATGTAAGTTGTTTAAGTTGCTTCATTTTATTTGATAATACTTTCTCTTTAATTCTATAAACAGACATAATTTCTTGTTCAGTTACAAAGTTCCGCTGTTCAAGTCCTATAATTGCTGTGTCGAAAATACCGACTAACTTGTCAATCGAAATTCTTTCATTTTCAATAACCTCTGTGTCACTTTCTTCAGTATCGGAAGTGAATTATAATGACGAGGAATTTGATTTAAATCATATCAAAGACAGAGTACATCGAGATGAAATACTACATTTAGTAAGGAATTATAAACCGAATAAAATAAAAACATCTGCCCTGAAGATAAGGATAGTGCTGACAGATCAACTTCCAGTTCATTGTGCGCCCCGTCATCCCCCCCTGCAGAGCAGCGTGTAATTGATAAACAGATTTCGGAATGGTTAAAGAAACAAAGGATATGCCTTAAACCATTTTTTTGCAGCAATTTCACTTTTTGTTTGATGGACATCGAAACATACTTTCGCTTTGTAGATCCTTTGGCAGCTCCAGCATCAGAAATTCTATTTGACATAATCGAAAGTTCAAGCTTACTTTCATAAAATTGCTCTAACAGTCTGCAAAAAATAATAAGCCGGATCCAATTAGAAGATTAAGATTAAGGGAACAACGCAATCTGCAACATTAACTGAAATAGATAATTAGATAATTTTAGCTGAGCTTATACTGTCCGTTATACATTAAACACGCATGCATAAATGTATTATGCGCATGCGTAAAGGCCTATGCGCATGCGTGAACGTATTATGCGTTGATGCATGCGTAGAAAGTTTGTAGCTCTGAGGTCCGGATTATGGGTGTCCAGATTAATAACTTTTGACTGTACATACAATGAATAATATAATCAATTTATATATGTAACAATAATTTAATGCATATATGCAATAATGTATATAATAATTTAATTAAATATATCTAATACACCTTATTTATTGCACTCTGTGTCTGAATATTAGGATTTATCTTTTCTATCCTGAAATCCGCACAACCTCTGCGGATTTCTGGACTTCTACTGTAATTGATTCAGTCTGAGATATGGATAAATTCTATTTTTTTTCTTTCAATAGTACAGTCTGTTTAACACACATGCTAATTCGCAAATGATGAGTAATTCTTTACAGGACAATGTGACTTCACTAAAAATTTTGCACTCTGTATTTTCACTTTCAGAGGGGGCTTCCGCCCTCTCCCACCCTCCTCCCCTACCATCCAAATTTGGATCCCAGCATCCCGCTTTGCCCTCCGGAAAATCTGGTCACCTTAAAATAGCAACAGACTTGAAAGAAAAAAGAAACAATACAAAATCCTGTTTTGAGACAAACAGCCCTTTTGGGCTGACAAGCATAAAAAAAGCTGATAATTCCATTATCTTTTTCATGGAGTAGCTAAAAAAATACAAACACAGCTACATTTCTGAATTATGTCTTGATCAATTTAAAATGAAATTAATCATGTGAAACTCTTTTTTAAATGTCTATAAATTAAATATAAATTTACTATTATTTGATCAATTCTAACTTAACACACTAATCCTTTCTCTCTAAATGTATACACAAATTTATTTCAACTTACTTGCAGAACGGATCTTTCTTCTGCAAGAGTATAACAGACTTTTCTTTACACTTTTTACATTTCTGCAAAGATCTAAAAAAATGAAATTTAAATTTAACTGCAATCAACTATTAGGAATTTTTATGAAAAAATATTTTTGAATAAAAGGGATATGCCTTTTATTTCAAACTATTTGCAACTACAGTCAAAAGTCGTTAATCCGGACTCGTCGGGACTTTGGCGATTCCGGATTATCGATTTTTCCGGATTATAGATCATCAGTTTAAATCTCGTAAGATGGCATGCAGAAATTCTAAAATTAAAAATATGAAACCGTAATTTATGAAATAAAGAACAATTATAATCTAAAGGGTATCAAAATTTACAAAAAAAAAGCTTAATATTTATTTGTTTACTTTATTAAACATTTCTCTCAATGTAAGTTGTTTAAGTTGGCTTCGTTTTATGTGATAATACTTTCTCTTTAATCTATAAAAAGACATAATTTCTTGTTCAGTTACAAAGTTCCGCCGCTGTTCAAGTGCCGTTAATTGCTGTGCCGAGAATACCGACTAAACTTGTCAATCGAAATTTTTTTTTTTTCGTTTTCACTAACCTCTCTGTCACATTCTTCATGTCTTTATCCATTTTTTTTTGCAGCAATTCCCACTTTTTGTTTGTTGGAACATCGAACATACTTTCCGTTTTGTAGATCCTTTGGAAGTTCCAGCATCGGAAATTCTATTTGATATAATCGAAAGTTCAAAGTTTTACTTTTTATAAAATTTTGCTCTTACAGTCTGCTAAAAATAAGAAGCGGGATCCAATTCGAAGATTAAGGAACAATGCAATCATTAACATTAACTGAAATAGATAATTAGATAATTTTAGCTTACAAACCGTCCGTTATACATTAAACGCGCAGGCGAAAACGTATTCTGCAGTTGCGCACTCGCATATGCGCAGTAGTCAAGGTCTTACGCTCTCGCGTAAAACGCCTGTGCGCATGTGCCACCGCGGCGCATGCGCAGAAAGTTTTTAGCTTTGAGGTCCGGATTATAGATCATTCCGGATTATGGGTGTCCGAATTAACGACTTTTGACTGTATTTACAATAACTAAATAAGTCACCCTTTTTCAATCCTAAAAGTTATTGTGACTAGAATAAACTATCTATAACTTACAGAAATTAAGGCTAACATGAAAAAATTCAGATCTAACCACGTTTGTTTTTATATTATTTCAAAAATAAACGCAAAACTGAAGACTTTGCCAAAAGAAACCTAATGGAAAACCATTCTGCGTTTTTTGTGGCGAGGATTATGTTAGCAGCTACCAAGGATGTAAAGCATACAAAATGAAATTTGAAAGGAAATTTTGACTTATTTTGACTTTGTGTAGCGGCAATTTTTGGCGCAAAAATCACCACTACGCAAGCCAAAATAACAAGTCAAAGAATTGCACAAATTTGGTATCCATGTACCGCCAAGTTTCGCCAAGGGGTAGCCTAAAATATACTTCTACTGAAGTTGCTTAGTCCCGAAAGTGGGCCTTAATAAGCTAGAAATAAAAATTAAACCCCTCAAAGCTCACGACACTGACAAGCTTACAGGTGAAACTCTGACAACAATGAGGTAGAGAGGCACCATCATTTTCTCTTCTGCAAAGATGCCAAACAGATAGAAAATGATGGGAGACAAAATTCACAACATGCCTACAGCAAAATACAAAATAAAAAATACAAAATTAATATAAACTATAACACAAGTAAATAAGCTGTACAGTTATTTTCAGCTTATGAATTTGAGACTCTAATAATATATCAAACTGTGAAATTTTGGTCTCTAAGCATGCAGGTAGCAAATGGTCTGAGAAATTATCTTCTGGAATGATATGGTAATTAAAGATTACTGAAAAATTTGAAACATCACCGCTAAGTCCATAGCTAAATAAATGTTCATTATACTTACAGGGTTGCCACTCAAAGAGGAGAATGAAATTCCCTGACTTTTCTAGGTGTGCTTCGAGAAAATTCCAGTCTATCCTCATAGTGCGTGTTGGCTGCACTGAGAGGTAAATTAATTATGGTACCACTTGAAAACACGAAAATTTGCCAATTGCATATGATTTATTATACAGTCAAAAGTCGTTAATTCGGACACCCATAATCCGGAATGATCTATAATCTGGACCTCAAAGTTAAAAACTTTCTGCGCATGCGCAGCGTTGGCACATGCGCACGGCGTTTTCCGCATGCCCGTAAGATCTTGACTACTGCGCATATGCGTGCGCGCAAGTGCAGAATACGTTTTCGCCTGCGCGTTTAATGTATAACAGACGGTGTAAGCTAAAATTATCTAATTATCTATTTCAGTTATGTTAATGATTGCGTTGTTCCTTAATCTTCGAATTGGATCCCGCTTATTATTTTTTGCAGAATGTAAGAGCAATTTTATAAAAGTAAACTTGAACTTTCGATTATGTCAAATAGAATTTCCGATGCTGGAACTTCAAAAGGCCCTACAAAACGAAAGTATGTTTCGATGTCCAACAAACAAAAAGTGGAATTGCTGCAAAAAATGGATAAAGGCATGAAGAATGTGACAGAGAGGTTAGTGAAAACGAAAAAATTTCGATTGACAAGTTAGTCGGTATTCTCGGTACAGCTATTAACAGGACTTGAACAGTGGGACTTTGTAACTGAACAAGAAATTATATCGTTTTATAGAATTAAAGAGAAAGTATTATCACATAAAATGAAGCAACTTAAACAAATTACATTGAAAGAAATGTTTAATAAAGTAAACAAATAAATATTAAGCTTTTTTTTTTTTTTTTTTTTAATTTTGATACCCTTTAGATCATAATTGTTCTTTATTTCATAAATTACGGTTTCATATTTTTAATTTTAGAATTTCTGCATGCCATGTTACGAGATTTAAACTGATGATCTTAATCCGGAAAAATCGATAATGCGGAATCGCCGAAGTCCCGACGAGTCCGGATTAACGACTTTTGACTGTATATATAATCTCGAAAGCATTACTATTATAGCTATAATAGGAGTTGTTTTCTCCACTGAAGATTGAGATTAGAATCTGCCCGATCTGGATTAAAAAATGAGTTTTTTTTTTCAGACATTTTGCAGCTAAACAAAAGAAGGAAATCTATTTAATGATATTTTTAAATAAATTCAGATATTTTTATATTTATTTAGCAGCATACATAAGCAAAATATGTGCAGTAAATTTCATGATAGTATGTCATTATATTGCTAGATTTAGTTTCAGAATTATGCCAGAGAAATTTGCCTGAACTTTCAAAGTATTATTAACCAATAATAAGTTTAGAGGAAAGAAGAACATTAACTGATATAAGTAACATTAAAATAAAGTTAATTACTTTAAAATTGAATTACAATAATCAATGATATTTTGGCGAATATAGTCATATTAAACATTAGCCTAGATGACTGATTACTATTTTTTTATTTTACTGCAAAATGAAAAAAAAAAAAAATTTTAAAAGTTTTTGCAGTAAAATCCTAATCATCGCTATGGCCTTGGTACAATTTTGAAAACTGCCACCAACACCAAAATAACCAGTTTACTGCCTCAAACCTTCTTGAACAGAGACTAAGAAACAGAAAGAGGTAACTGTTGTTACTGCTCATCATAATGTCACCAAATCCCATGTGTACCATACACAGAGGTTAGAATAAAAAATATGTATTGTTAATATAAAAAACTTCTCTACAACAGGAATGGCTCCGTCCCAACGTAGAGGGAAACAGCTGTGTATGCGTGAAATATATCTGTCGCTGAAGTTCGAAAGTCAAGTTTATCAAGAGTACATAAAACGAATATCGTTTTAAATTTCTTTAAACTTTAAAGGAAAAGAAAATATTTTTATGCGAGTAAATTAATTAATAGATTAGTTATTTTGAGCAAAAAGAAGTACAAAAATCTGAGTATAAATTATCACGAAAGCCAAAGAATGTTTCTTCTTAACACGTGCTCCACAATTTCCTAAACACATCGCGGAGGGGGAAATTCGCGCTGTCAGGTTCCGCCGCCAAATACCTTGCCGAGTTTTTCCCTCTGCTTTCTAATGGCACTATAACAAACTGATTTACATTACATCTACGGAACCTTTCTTTCTTTACATAGATGTTCTCACATTAGGACAGAGTACATGGGGGCTATTCTAGCTTCCATGGTACCGTATATTGGGATTAAACCGAATTTTTGTTGTATATGAGAATGAGAAGGTATTTTCTTCAGTTCAACATGCACTGCACATGCGAGTCTCAGGATTTTCGAGGTTGCTGGAAACTAAACTTGCTGGAAACTTGAGCTAATCTTTGGAATATGGTAACAGGCAGTTTGGCGACATTTTGGTAGGCGATAAAGGTTACTACATAGGACTTTGGCAATAATGTGTGAAGTAACCAGTTCCAATTACGGATTATTTGTCTGAGAGAAATGAGATATGTCATGCGACATTTATGGACGACTCACAGTTTTTTAATTGGAAAAAGGGGGAAATTTGCAAAAATATCTGCAGTACTTTATAGCATTTTGTATTTAGCTTCATTCTATATTGTGTGAAACAGTGCTGCTTAATATTTGGATCCCATGGCCTTATTTTAAAGTAAATTCGAAATTTTTATTGCGTTTATGTGATAATCAAAAATAATTGCTTGAATGGTGTACGAGTGTAGGATTAATTGCGGATAAGTATGAATGTCCAACATGTGGGAATGAAATGAGATTGTGTGAAAGGAAGGATATTACAGATAAGTTTGAATGGCAGTGCAAGAAATCTGGTGAAAATGAACAATTTTGTGATCCGCCATGCACTCAAGATTCTGTAGAAGATTAGGTAAGTTAGTATTTTTAATCATTTCAGGATATTATTTTTATGCATTGTTCTAAATATAAGGAATAAATAAATTAATATGCTATTATTGAAAAATTTGGTTGATCTTTACATTATGGTAACTTGGCGATTTTTTGGCGACCAACTCTCCTACAGCAACCCTCTTTTTTTTTTTCCCGCCACCATTTTGTCTTCACGAAGTAAAGACATGTTTCTTTTCTTTTTATCTACTGAACACTTCTTCCAACGATCTACTAGCCGAATTACACTTATGCTAGAAATTTTATCTAACAAAACTGCTTAATCATGACAAATATTCACTGCAAAATTGAGAAAAAGTGCACAATACCATACTCCTTACGAGTTTTCCAAAATAACACATACACATAAACCATGTACACGTCGACTTATTTTTACTTAAAAAAACATCTCATAAATTAGAAAAATTTCACGAAAATACATGACAATTTTCTGAATCTTTAAACCCGGTAAAAAGAACATATATGAAATTACCTGATCGCGAAAAAGTATATACCTTTTCCAAATATGAACATTTCCACATATAAACTAAATAAAATATCCTAAAAACTTTTACCTCTAAATCATCTATTATATTATAAACGTCACCAATGAATTCATACCGCAAGAATTACAAATACTTAGTGTCAAATATTTAAATTATTTCCATGCACTTTTACTTCAACTAAAACGTATACCAAATTCCTACAAACAAAAATTCACAAAAACACATCATTTAATTAAAATATCACTAAACACATGTACACGTCGACTTATTTTTAATTTAAAAAAAATCCCAGAATTGCACAAAAATGGCATTGCGCACACTCTTCACCATATCCATGCACACTCCTTTTTTCTCATAAATTAGAAAAATTTCACGAAAGTGCATGACAATTTTCTGAATCTTTAAACCCACTAAAAAGAACATATATGAAATTACCTAATAACGAAAAAGTACCCTTTCCAAATATGAACATTTCCACATATAAAATAAATAAAATATCCAAAAACTTTTACCTCTAAATTATCTATTATATTATAAACGTCACCAACGAATTCATACTGCAAACATTACAAATACTTAGTGTCAAATATTTAAATTATTCCATGCACGTTTACTTCAACTAAAACATATACCAATTCCTACAAACATAAATTCACAAAATAACTATCATTTAATTAAAATATAATTAAAATTCAAAAACACTACTTAAAATATAAATAAGCACATACATTAAATTAATAAAATTAGCTTACAATCCTAATTATTTTAAACTAAATCATTGCTAAACAATTTTCCCAGTAATAATACCAAATTACTTTACTTCCACCTTACATTTACAACAATGCATAAAAATAATATCCTCAAATAATTAAAAATACTAACTTACCTAATCTTCTTCAGAATCTTGATTACGTGTCCGATAAACTTTTTCTATTTCTGTTTCAGGATCTTTAAAATCATACTTATAGTTCACAGCAAGGTACCGGGTAAAATAAATAACTTAATAAAACATCTTTACTTCTATCTCGCACAACCTTAAAGAAACACTTATTACGACCCCTTTCAATCCCACTAAATACCCATTTCGAATTCACTTTAGTTAGGGCAATGGGATCCCAAAATTAACAAACACTGTTTCACACAACACAGAATAAAGCCAAATACAAAATTTCCCGATTTCCTCCCTTTTTCGATTAAAGAACCGTAATTCATCCATTAATATCACATGACATATCCCGTGATCTCTCATTTCTCTCAAACAAAAAATGCGTAATCGGAACTGATGAAATGAGTACTGCTCACATTATTACCAAAGTCCCAGGTAGTAACCTTTATCGCCTCCAAAATGTCGCCAAACAACCAGTTACCATATTCTAAAGATCAGCCAAAAATTTTTATTAGCAATAAATTAGTTTAAACTAAATAAGATTTTAAGCTAATTTTTATTAATTTAATGTGTTTGTTTATATTTTAACTAGTGTTTTTTAATTATTAATTATATTTTAATGATAGTGATTTTGTTAATTATGCGTTTGTAGCATTTTGGAATACATTTCAGTAGAAGTAAACCAAACATGGAAATAAGTTAATATTTTCACACTAAGTATTTGCATTATTTTTAATGTTTGCCTTATAATTCGCAGGTGATGTTTATAATGGATAATTTAGAGGGAAAAGTTTTTGGATTTTTATTTATTTTTTTATACGTGCAAATATTTTATCCTTGGAAAGGGTATATACTTTTTTCGCAATCAGGTAATTTCATATATGTCCTTTTACCGACTTTAAAGATTCACAAAATTTTCCTGCATTTTTGTGCAAATTTTTCTAATTTATGAGAAAAAGAAGTGTACAGGGATAAGTCAAGAGTGTGCGCAATGTCATTTTGTGCAATTCTGGGATGTTTTTTTTAAGTGAAAATAGTCTACGTGTATGTGCAATTCTTAAAATGCGGCAAGAGTTTGCGATTCTTCACTTTCTCCCAATTTAATATTCGTCAGGATTAAGAACTTTTGTTCCATAAAATTTCTAGCATAAGCATAATTTGGCTAGCAGATCGTTCAAAAAAAAAAATGTTGAGTAAATAAAAAAAAAAGAAACATGTCTTTACTTTGTGAAGACAAAAAGGCGCCGAAAAAAGAATTAGGAAGTTGCTGTAGCAGGGTTGGTTGCCAAATTTGCACCAAAAATCACGAAGTTACCATAATCCAAAGATTAACCGAAACTTGCTTTGCCTTTCTAAAAGACAATCTGATTGGAGCTGCAAAAATTAGCTCTACGCCAGTCAAAGAAAGTCTTTGCACCAGCTGCCTGAATAATGCTCATCCGATACATAATTCGCCAACAATGTGATCACTTCCAACATTGGCATAAAACTCTTTTTCGGGATCGCAGTATGTCATTCCCAGACTTCTTCAACTTTTGACTAAAATATTTAAATTCCCTTCTTTTTTTGGTCAATTTTCAAATTGCCTGGCTTTTTCCGGTTTTCCAGGTAGCGTGGCAACCCTGTACTTAGAAATATGTCCACAATAAAGTCGATTTTCAATCATCATGGATCACTTTATTTCTAATCACGTAGTGAGCATTTACAATTCTTCTCAGTTTCATTGTGTACTACCTGAAGTTTGTGGAAATCCACATCTGAGACAACCACGCCTCGTAATTAGTTTGGCATGACAATTAGTTTGTACTAACTACCATAATATCTCCTGCAGTATAAATACAAGGAATGGCATACGTGTGACTAGGATGCTTTTCATTACAATTACATAAAGGACCTCTAGTTTTTTTTTTCCTTTTGCCTGTAGCGACATGAATAGCAAAGAAACAGTGACAAAAATTCAAGAATTTCATGGTCCCACAATATAAAAACTTAAATGCCTTTAATACGGTTCATTTATTGATGCAAATAATATAATACGTACTCTTTCACAAATCGTTTGGATTCATCTGAGCAGCTATAAGGCAATTCTTCAATGTCCTCTGCAACAGAACACATGTTTTTCCCCAAAAGCTAAAAAAATGAAGAAGAAAATCTTATTTACAATCTTTACGAGTACACACTTGCTACTTTTTTTTGGTGCACCTAATTTCTTGATTTATAACAGAGAGAAGGAAGCATCAAGATCTGATTTATTTCAAAGTTAGGATAGGTAGAGAGCCAGCGAAAAAACCGTTTCGACCCTACCGAGTAGCAAAATTTAGCAGAGGCAATTTTTTTTTTTTTTTTTTTTTTTTTTTTTTGTTTTTTTTTTTTTTTTTTTTTTTTTTTTTTAAAATTTATGGAGGTACTAAGCTTCAGAATTTTAAAAAACCATAGAGATTGCACCAGGCGACAAAAGCCTAGCGATGGCCCTGGATGAGCAGGAAGCTAATTTGCTCCCTATCTATAATTACGCTTTCATTGCTTCGCTCGTCACACTTAACCTTTTAAGTCAACAAAGCTTAGCTGATTCAAAATGTTGCATAAAAATAACAATTAATCACTGAATAAGAAGTATCTTAAATTTGTTTAACTTTTTTAGTGCATTCATCATAAATATGTAAATTATTGTGAAAGCTAATAATCTCAGAGCAATGTCTGCAGTATCATTGATTTTTAAAATATCTGCAATAGTAATCTGTGCGCCTCAATGTTTGTTGACGAACATTTTCAATCAGGACTTACTTGAAGAAAGGCAAGGATTACTCGTAATATAGTTTGGCTAGATAGAATGAACTAAATTTAGGAGCTCTAGAAACGATTAGCAACCCTTTGTAATGTGAAAAAAGGAAAGCCTCGAGCCGGTGGTAATCTAGTTTGGCCTTGGTTGTATCAACCTTTGGGATAAATTTTGCTTTAGGTATTTCACAAAAGATTTTGATCTCTGTGGCAAATTTTGTTTGAGATTCTCTTGCAAAGAGCTTTTGCGGCAGTGATTCGTACAGTTACTACGTTGAAAGATGTAATCATCAATGGTTTCATTCTGACATCAGCAAAGATAAACATAATGAATGTTTGTAAAATATGTGAAAAAAAAACCTAACCAAATTACCTGAGCAGCGTAATAAAGCTCTATCAGTTATTTAATTTATTTGATGTGAATTTTAAAATATTTCACATATTTAGAAATAATTCTAAATTATTTATTATGTTTGTCGAGAAAAAGAATCGCATTTTCTTATTTCAATATAATTTAATACCGATTGAAAGATTTAAGCAATTTGAATACGCATTTTTCATGCAATAATATGTGTATTTATTTGCATATTATAATATATGTAATTTTATACTATAACAGAATTGTACATATCTGTAATTCATCTCATGAAGGGAACAATTGCATCTTTATACCATAAAAAGAGTTTGAAATGATTGATGCCGCCCAACCGGTATAGTGGTTAGCGTTGCTGACTACCGTGCCGAAGGGTCCGGGTTCGAATCCCGGAGAAGGCATGGATGTTTGTATATGTTTAATAAAAATTTGTAAAAAAACGTTTGTTGTTAATTTCAATATTAACCCTCACGAATTGGAGGAAACGGCGTTCGCCAAAGTCCTCATCATCTTTCTTCTTGTCTAAAAGGCAAGATTGATACTGATACTGATACTGAAATGATTGATTGGATCGAAAATCTTAAATAAGGACCAATCAAAAAATTGCTTTCTGCCAAATCTGCGTCAAGACGGCTTTACTTTCTGCAAGTGCATTAGGACTTCATCTCGTTCTCTCGTTTTCCAGCGAGAAATGACGCCATTATCGCGATATCCCGAAGGTACGTGATTCTATGTTAATGCATTTTGGCGGTATAAGCAAATATGTGTGAACGATATTTATAAGGTATTTGTTTCTTCATTTCCTATCATAATAAAAGTGTCAATAACAGAAATCTTCACAAACGGTTCCAAATGTTGCAGTTCATACGATGACCCAGTTAATACCTAATCGAGTGCTATGTACTGTTGTTACTCTGATGATTTTACTATTGTTTTTGAAAAACTGAATTTCTACGTGAGAGTTGATTATGTTCATGTTTACTGAGTAAAAAGTGATTAAAAATATCATGACAATGTGAGTGCCTTTGTTAACCTAACCATTATTCCGTAATGAAATTACATTGTAAGAAGATATTTCATTTTATGAAAAATCAGCATTTTAAAATTCAAATATAGTCTTTTTCTAATACATTTGTATCTGCTGAATGAAATGTACGCTAATCAGTCATGAACTCATCTGAGTGTTTATCAAAAGTATTAGAAAAAATTTCAAGAAACTTGGATTGTGTTGAGGATGATGAAAGTTTAATTCATTTAATAAATACTGTTTGTAAAGTTGGTACTTATGTGATAAGGAAATCATTGTCTGATTCTCTGTTAAAATCAGTGTCAAAAATTTTACATGAATACTATAGGAAAACGGGCAGATCTACCTCTTTTCGTCAGTTACTTTTGAAGAATGTTCTGCACCTTTGCAAAGAAAGCAATTATCTTTGTTCAAGTTCTAAAATTGTTTTCCTTTCTTGTTTTGAATCAGTTGCAGAAACAGAATTTTTATCATTGTTAAAGATTTTAAGTTCAATCAAGGAAACTGATATATGTTTAATAAAAGCAGCTGTATTAGATAGTTGTTTACCACAAGCTTGTTGTGACAATCCTTCTATGTTTTATAAAATGTTTTGTATCTTAAAAAAAACTTGGATTTTATCTTATGGCAACCCCATTGTTAGTTATATGGTATTTTTCTTTTTTACAACAGTTAAAGCCCATAGAAATTCATCTATTAGTATTTTTCCAGATGAGCTTCATCACTTAGAAATACTTTTTCTTTCACCACAGTCTAAATTCCAGGATGAACAGCAAATTTTATTTATTGAGTACATTATTTGCTTATTAACTGATGCACTTAGAATGAAGTTATGTGACAAAGAAGACTTAATGTTTCTTACAGTAATTTTTCCAGTATTTTATTATCAAGTATTAACTTTTGTTAAAAATGAAACTTCTCAAGATGCTTTAGAATTTTTGAAATTAATTTGGAATAATTATGCTGGCCATGAATATAAAAAAATAGCTTGCTGTGTTCTTGAAAATTCATTTTGGAATTATATTTTTAAGTAGCAGCATATGGTAATAAATATACTTTTACCATGAAGTTATGTTATATGTGTTGTAAATAACAGTTATATTGTTGTGGAAATAAAATAACAAATTTACAATTGAACTTTGATACTTTAAACTTTAATTGGTTGGTTTGATTTATTTGATCATGGCAATGTACTCGAGGGCTGTCTACCTAAAGGGAGGGATGCTTTCGTCGAGGACTTGGGAAACTGGTTCATATACATGGTGCACATGGGGAAAACCATAGAAACACCCATGTAGCCAGCTGGTTTGGGGGATTCAAACCTTGACCGAACTACCAGTGTTCAGTGACTTTACTGCTTGGCAACTGGTAGACCTAATTTTAATTGTAAATGGCACTAAGTCATTTTACAATAGAACTAAGCTACAAAATTTCTCTTATTTCTATTTTAAGGTGAAAAATTTTTATTTAATCCAAAATTAATTACAATTCTGTATTTTAACATTTCAGTTCAACTTATTGTAAATCTTCAAATCACCAAGCACCGCTATGTTATACCTCATTAAAACAAATTAATATACTAATTACGAATGGTTTAATTGCTAGTTATCAGATCACAGAGTCTGGCAATTCTCAACATTTTTTGTAACATATGTTGCTTTATAAATTATTTACAAATTATTAATCTGTAAATGAAAAGAATAATTGCATTTCCGAAGGTGGAAATTTAACCCAGAAAATTTTCCTACTTGTTACATTCTAATGCCAATTAAAACATAATTGGTACTTCTATATTTTACAGGCAACCATGAATGTTGGCAGAGACCATGTCAATTATCCAACCAGAAATTTGAAGGAAAGCTGGCTCCTTATATAGTTTAATAATTGCAGATTGCTGTTTATTTAGATTGTAAGCAAGAGAAAAAAATTATGTGTGTCACATGTAAAGAAGTTTAACTAAATGTGAGCTTAAGCTAAAGAATTCAGTGTCACATAAATCCATTTAAATACAAATCTAAGTGGTATGTGTAGTTGCGCATTGTTTTTCTTGTGCTTTTTTGCAAAATTTTCTTTCTGTATGGTCGATATTTCGTGTTGGGTGTGATTTTGCAGATAAATCTTTGTGCTGATTGATGATCACATGACTTTGTCAGTAGATGTTTTGAATTCACTGTTTAATTATTTTCTTAATAAATTAATTACACTTGTAATTGGAATAAGATTATTTTTATACAAGAGAATAACAAAATGTGCTCCTTTTCTGGATTGAATAATAGAAGAAGAATTATGGAATTAATTTCTAAATAAATTAATTTAAATTTTTAATTATAGAAAATAATTAATTACACTTTCTAGTCAGAATAAATTATTTTATTTTATAGAATAAAATATGTTCTTTTTCTAGCTTATTGCTCGTAGTTCCAGATAATTTAATTCAAATGAAAAATTTTTAATTATCTAGTTAATATTTAAATATATGGGAGTCTGGACATAACAAACATGAATTAATTTCTAAATAAATTGATTGTACTTCTAATAGGAATGTATATTTTTTTAATTTATGGAAGTCATTTGTTTAATCTAATCAAATGTCTTTTTTCTAATTATTTCCATGTGTAAATATGATTAAGATTATTTAGACTACCAAAAGTACTCCCGGGCTATTTGCTTAAGGAGAGGGAAGTCTGTTAGCCATGGTTTGACTTCAAGACAAACTACCAGTATGCAACAGTTTTACCCTTTAGCCGCTGAAAGACACCCTGTATCACAAAAGCTGTTTTTTAACCCATCATAATCAAATTTATATTCAAATATAATTATTAAAAATGCAATAAAATGGTAATCAGACTTTGAAATGCTAATAACTTGGTATAAAATATTAAACAAACATTATTCTGCTGTTTTCCTATGTGAAGCATATTTCATCGATTTCTTTATATAGAGAATTTTGTGGATTAAAAGTTGGGTATATCAGTAAAAATTCTTGGCACAGCTTTAGTATTAGTCCTTTTTGGCGACATTTGTGCACGATAAATGAAAAATTATGATAACCTTGTTATTTATGGTAACCCTAAATACTGAGCTGAAAACATGCTGACATTTTTGTCTTTTGTCCACGTAACTTTAACGAATTTGGTAGGTATCAGAGCTTTGATGGCAGGAGGGATAAATTGCATGTTTTTCTTAAAGTAACTTATCTGTTAGGAAAGCACAATTTTTAAAATATTTCTTAAAAAGCGAAAATTTGATAGTTAAAACTGATGCTTTTAATATTACACATGAGTCTTGACATTTTTTCACATGTCAGCTCTGCATATTATAAACTCCACTCCCCCCAAGGAAAAAACACACTTTTAGTAGCATGAGGAAAACTCTTGGTGTTTCCTTTGCAAAGGAACCACATGCAAATTTAGACGTCTTGCATGTTTCTTAAAATGGGGAATGATCAAAATCACCATGGTCTAAAAATACTTTTTTGCCTCATTTCTTAAATTAGAACTATAGGGATGTGTAATTGCATGAAATCACAGACCAAAATCAGGTTTCATTATAGCTTTTATAACATTTTTATAATTTGTCTGACTATAAGAAATGTAATGTTGCTTAGATTATGGAATGTATTGCTTATAATTTACAGTTATCAAATTTTGTAAATCTCACAATGTATATCTACTGTCTATGATAACCTTCACTGAGTATTATTACTTTTATTAATAGTATGTTGACATATAGTCGGACTTTTTTTTTAAATTTTATGCAATTTTCTACATTACTTAAATTTTAATCTAACATAATCTGAATTTTTGTAATAAAAACTTTATAATAAAGTAAGAGATAGTAAAGTAATAGAGTAATTTATATATAAAAATTTGACTATATGGCAAGAACTTAGATACTGATTTTAATATCTTTAAATGTAATTATTAAAGTTTAGATATATTTTTATTCAGGTATACTCTTATTTTCTTATAAGTTTGGATGTACACAACAATAGGCACACTTTGTGCTTACGACTCAGTCAAATACTGTGGCAAGATAACTTATGATAACAATTAAGTTCAAATGTAAAATTTAAATTCAAATAAACTTATCAATTTAATGCAAAGTTTTTTCAAAATTTAACTGGCATGGAATTCAACTATCAGCAATTATAATGCAAGACTGAAGACTACAAATCTTATGTAGCAGCCTAGTAATGTGGCCTCGAAATGCAAAACACAGTTTGTTTTACAAATTAAAAACTTCATTTGCATTCTGGTGGGAACACGGATGGGGAAATTAACAGTAAAGATCCCAAACATAAGATAACCCTACTTACAAAATAAAGGAACATTACATTATACTTTGTTCCCTGATTAATTATTCACTACATGAATAGTGTAATGCGTTTTTGTTGCATCATATACAAAAATTTATTTTTATTTAAATGCTGTTCAAAACTGAAACAGGATTTTGCAAATATATTGACCATATTTTTTGACCTATAGATGTAACACTTCTTCACTTCAGAAATAAGATTTAGAATTAAGAAAATAAGAAGAGAGAACAGTATTTATGAATAGAAAATAAATATATACATAGGCTAGCAGAAGAAGGATGCCTTTATAAAGGACTTTTTAAGAGAAACTGGCTTAGATTCACATTACGTGTGAGGGAAACCACAAAAGCTCCCATGTGGCCAGCCTGAACTACCAGTGTTCAGTGGCTCCTCCACCACTAGTGGATTCCAACAATTGTTTGAATCTTTCACAGAAATCATCAGTTATAATTGTTGTTGTGTATTATTACCATTGGTAAAAATATACTCATTAATGATAATTTAATTTTAGCTTTTAAATTATAATCATAAATTACTTGTAATAAATTGAGTGATTAAAAAATACACACAATATTTTTACCAATTACAAAATTTAATTCATAAAAAGTATTTCTGACACTGGTGCAAAATTTACTCGTTATAATTTAATTTGATTTCCTTCAATTTGAAA